AAGAGTGCGGGCGGAACTTTGACGTTCATTCTCAGAACCATACCTCAATGAAAATCTAAAAGCTATAGTATGGAATTAAAACAAAGGAGTTCAGTTATATATGAGATTGATCGACAAAACAGAGTCTGAACAGAAAAGAAGAACTTAAATACAAACTAATCAGATGAGGGGGTGAAGTGCAGGTGGACAGAAAGTCAGGTTTCTGCAGGGTTAATATGGGACAGGTGAAACTAATAAGGCCAATCAAAACAGCTTTGGAAACAGGGAAGAAGCTGATTGGCTGGAAAGACTAATAAGGCTGATTCAGAGCAGGTGTGAAGATGGGCAAAGGCAGCACAGGAACACCAACGGAAAAACACAAGACAGGAAGTCAAACCAGGAATTTATTTTTTTCAAAATAAAATAGGAAAAAACGAAAAACAAGGATCATTACAGTTCTAATACTGAAAGCAAGTTTGATTCGCTTGATATAAAACTAAAAAATACATTAAATTATGCAATTTACCATCTATACTGAATTATGAAGATAATCTACACCGGATCACACAATAGTTTAGCTTTCCTTTAATCAATAAAACTGTCTTAAAGTAACGGCATACGCACATTGGCAATACATAAATCCAATGGAAATATAGTTAACTCAGTTGGTGCTTTGAAGATTTGTTTGAACTACTACACAATTAGCATTATTTGATAGAAATTAATTGTCTATTCCTCTTAGACCTGTTCCCGCCCATACTTTTTGCATTGTATCTCTTTCAGTGTGTTTTTTTACATTTTGTGGTTTTCAGCAGGATGTAACAGTGTCTGCACTCAGTACATCTTAAGCCTAAGACCACTCTAGCAAAGGTCCTTGATCGAAAAATCCACTGTGTTGTTACATAATTATATTTCAAATGAAAATCATTACATCTAATGCCAAGAAATTCTCCCACCATGTCAATGTTTTAAAAATACATATTTTTTACTACAGTTTATGTAGCAGTGAACACGTGATCACATTTCCTAAGTAGGACACAGTCACTTCAGATTGGCCAACCAAACCTAGTTTCGTCTTTTAAGAGGAGAGGCATGATCAACATTCTTTTCATTTCACACATGAATTTGAACATGATGACATTTCCGTTGTTTGCTCTCTTTTGCACCCGTCTGTGCTTGGGGATAATGGGTGAGTTGTATTTATTTCTACTCAAACGTGCTCTCTTAGAAATATTCATCATTTTAGAAAATGAAGTGATTATGCTAAAGATTCTCACATTAAATTACTACATTTGTCTTGTTTCATTTCAGCCGAGACGACTAACCGGACATTGTCCACATCTGTTCGTGAAGACAGAGGTTTTGTATCAGCTAAAACAGGGGAGAACTTGACTTTGCCATGTTTCTATGAAGGCATTGTTGCTGCAAGGCTTTACTGGTATAAGCAAACTGTTGGGCAGAAACCAAATCTCATCTCTACATTCTATATGTATAACAAAAACATAGATTTCTATGGTGAATTCAATAACAATTCACGCTTCACACTGAATGCTGAAAAGGGGAAAGGTAAAAACCACTTGACCATCACAGACTTGCGCGTATCAGACTCCGGTACTTATTTCTGCATAAATTGCTATCTATACACGTTAGAAATTTCACAGAGCACTCTAGTCGACGTTAAGGGTTCAGATCTGACAGCTTTAGTCCATCAGTCAGCATCTGAGACTGTCCAGTCAGGAGGCTTTGTGACTCTGAACTGTACAGTTCTCACTGGGAGTTGTGATGGAGAACACAGTGTTTACTGGTTCAAAAACTCTGAGGACTCTCCAGGACTCATTTACACCCATGGAGGCAGGAATGATCAGTGTGAGAGGAAACCCAACACACAAACACAAACCTGTGAATACAACCTGCCAATGGAGAGCCTGAATCCTTCTCATGCTGGGACCTACTACTGTGCTGTTGCCTCATGTGGACACATACTGTTTGGAAACGGGACCAAGCTGGACTTTGAGGGTAAGTAACTTTCTAGCAGAGGTTGTTGCAGTTCTCATTGGTACTGTCTTACCAAACTTTGGATAAAAACCTACTGAAAGCTCTGCTTCTCTCTACAGGTGGCGTGGACTCTGGTTTCTTGGTGCATTTCTCCAGTATAGCTTTGACATTCACCACCATCCTGAGTGTTTTACTGGCTTTCTTAGTGTGCATGATGAACAAGAACAGCTGCCAATCAACAGGTAACTTGTACGGTTTGTATCTTATGGCTTGATTTTGCAGAATTTGGCCTTTGATTAAAAAGAACCATTTCTATTTTTTCCAGTTCCGTCCACAGCAGAAGCCGAAGTGAGTAAAATCAGTTGACCATAAATAACTGCTAAATTACCATTTAAACACCCTATTCCTTCCAAATAATTTTTATATTTTGCAGGATCACAATAATGATCTACTTATATATATTGTGTTGCAGGAGTACCAACGTGGAGAAAAGGTCTACTATGCTGCTTTAGGTGTGAACCTGAAAAACAGATCAAGAAGACAGAGGGATCCAACCTGGAGTGACTGTGTGTATTACAGCGTAAAGCAGTAGAACCTGACAAGTTGCAATTTGTACTTTTGAGTGAAACATGTGTTTTTGTTTTCTCTTCCTTGTGGTCCGTAGCAAAAAAAAAAAATCTATTCTTCGTAGATGTACATTTTAGCATAGTATTTTTCCACTTTGTGGTCGAAGCAGGATATGTCCGCAACGTTCTTTCAAATAAACCATCTATCTAAAGATATATGCTTTTTTTAGTACTTGTGAATACATGTATGACTTAACCTGTAGCCTATATTTAGAAGCTAAGATGCTGTAAAAGTCACTTCAATACTTTTAAGTTTAGGATCATCTTATTATTTTTATTATCATTGTTTTTTACCAAATCAAATGTGTAATTTTGTTTGTGCAATTTCTGTCATTTATCCAATAAACATCAAAATTCGGAACAATACTGTGTGTGTCTTCTTAAATCCAACAGCTTTTCTTTGCACTAGTAGCACCGTTTTTTTTAGAAAACTTGGGTTCCCTAACCCACCCCAATATGTGACAAAACTCAAGTCATACAGGTGAATTATTTGAACATTTACCCCTATACAGTTGCCATATAGTGGAAAACTAGCTATATGGACCAAACCCTTTTAAACTAGGCTGGAAACAAATTTCTCTTGGTTGTAATGTTGAGCATTTTAACATGAAGGTCATTGGGGATTGACTTGCTTTTGAAGCCTGCTTAAAGTGGCCATTCAATGAACTGCAGATTTGTTACACTTCTGTGTTAGCTTTATTTCTCAGCAACCCAGGTTTCGCTTGGCTACGACTTACAGAACTTGCAAAGAACTGGCACAGTCAGCTAGATCATTCAGTCAATTACATACTCATCATTAGCTGTTTTGGAAAGCTAAACACTTGCTAACTTCTTAAATATATCAAAGTGGTAGAGAATGTGATATCTCCCTATAACAAAAAATCATGGAAATGCGAACATATACAAATGAGTGAAAGAGTGAATGCATATTTTAAGCCAACAGTTTTTAATCTGGCCATTTGGCTAACTCTTCAAAGTATTATAAAACTCAATAGGGCTCATATAATGTAAAATGAGAGGCCAGCTAATAGCATTGTTTTTTTCGCTTCAGTTAAGGGGGGGGGGGGGGGCTTTGGGCGCACAAAGGTTAGTAACAAGAAGTGTTCTGCTTTAATGCGTCACAGTGGTCCGTTCTGGTGCAGACACAAAACATAGACGAATAAACTCAACAGTCAGTAGCTTTTTTTGTGTTGTATCTCTTAGTGCAGCAGCGTTTGTGGTTTTGAGCAGGATGTAAGGGTGTTTGCTTTCTCACATAGATGATACTTCATTGAGAGACCACTTGCAGTCCTATTTCAAAAGTAGAATACTTGTTAAGTCACATTTAACAATACGGAAGCTACTAATACTTAGAGGTCCGGTTAAAAGTCCTTTTGGTTTGAATATATTGGTGATACATACTGTATATAAACACGAATGAATCCATTAGTCTCATATGGATGCATTGAATTAAATCAATGTCTCCCTTTGTATGGCTCCATTATCACTGAGACATGTGCCCATATCAATAGGCCTATGGGAGGAACAGTGTTTCTTTTTGACTTGCTTCAATAATCACCTTTTGTTAATAATAATGTTTTAACTAACAAAACCCATCATGGAGCCAATAAAGATTTACATCATGCCATTGTTTTATTGACCTTCCACTGTATATGTTCCACATACCTCTGGCCCAGTATAGTATTTTAGAGTCATTTGTATCCAATATTCCTTTGATATTCTCATAAACTTACAAGAGGGGTAATATGGATTTCTGGGTCTTAAAATACCATCCATTTTGATGATTAATGGCAAACCCGTCGTACTAACCAAGCTATAGCAAAAGCCTCAATATATATATATATGTATATATGTCATCCAAAAATGCAGTTGGGGTAATTTCTTTCCCATTTTGGAAAATTATTGTGCCAGCTTCCTGTAAAATTGTCCAAGAAGAATTTTCTATTGACTTTTAGAATTGGTAATCAATGTGAAAACAGAAAAGTGCAGTCCATATCATGTACATGTAACGTGCACTGAAACAACTGCAATTCTGCAATTTATAAAACATATCCTTTTTTAAATTCAAGAAATGTAAGTCCATGAGATAAGGTTCTACAAAATGACTTGAAAGATCATATTCTCTTTGGAGAGAGACTTAAAAAGACATAGTCAATCCATTAATATTATAGGTAATTATACTGTAGATAGAGATAGTTTATATGTAATGCCAACATGAGAATATCTTTTATATACTTTCTCAAATTTGATCATATTCAAACAACAAATTGACTCTGTAGGTGGCAGTAAACCTGTGACCATGTTTCCTTTATGGGACATAGTTTAAAGTGTCACCTCTGATTGGCCAAACAGATTCAGTGTTGTTTCTTAAGAGTGGAGAGAGCATCGAGATGTGCATCATTCAACGCGGCAGTTTGAACACGATGACATCTCATGTGATCATGTTATATTTCGGATTTCTAATCTTGTGGAATACTGGTGAGTTGTATTTTTGTGGTACAAAATGTTATCTTTTATATCCCCATGATATTGGTCCAAATCATTTTTGTGTGTCGAGTTTATTTTTCTATACTTCTGCATTTGATTTATCTCTCCTATCTCTTCAGCTCAGGTGACGGAGCTGAAATTATCGTCATCTGTTCATCAAGAGAGTGGTATTCTATCATTTAAAACTGGGGACGAGCTTACTTTGAAATGTTTCCATGGGAGTAATGTTGACACAAGATTTTACTGGTACAAGCAAACTGTGGGACAGAAACCAAGGCTTATCTCAACCTACTACAAGTACGAACCAAATGGAACATTTCACGATGAATTCAAGAATCCACGTTTCGCATTGGATACGGGAAAAGGACAAAATCACCTGAAGATAACAGATGTGCAAATTTCAGACTCAGCCACTTACTACTGCGCAAATAGCCATTCTTACCAGTTTGAATTCAGGGAGGGAATTACAGTCGATGTAAAAGGTTCAGATTTGAGCATCTCGTTTTTAGTCCATCAGTCAGCATCTGAGATCATCCAGCCAGGAGACTCTGTGACTCTGAACTGTACTGTACACACTGGCAGCTGTGATGGAGAACACAGTGTTTACTGGTTCAAAAACTCTGAAGACACTCTTCCAGGACTCATTTACACCCGTGGAGGCAGTCAGTGTGAGAGCAAACCCAACACACAAACACACACCTGTGATTACAACCTGCCAAAAAGCGTGAATCTTTCTCATGCTGGGACCTACTACTGTCCTGTTGCCTCATGTGGACACATACTGTTTGGAAACGGGACCAAGCTGAACTTTGAAGGTAAGTCACTCAATTGGAGGGTTTTTCCTTGAAGTCCTTAAAGCTTTGTAATGTGTCCTGATGTCTGACTCTCTACAGATAAGGTGGATTTTCTTATCTTGGTGTATTCCTTGAGTGGAGCTTTGGCATTCACTCTCATTGTGATTGTCTTACTGGTTTTCTTACTGTGCATGATGAGCAAGAGAAACAGCTGCAAATGTACAGGTACTGTAACTAATCTTTTTTTAGACTGCGCTTATAATGTGTACCCATTTAACACAACATTAGAGTGAAATATATTTTTTATTATTTTCAGAGTCTCATGCAAGAGTTCCAGCTCCCTCCACAACAAATGCAGAGGTATCTTGTGTTTGATAAACTTTTACCATTGAAACGTTTTTATGAACACAGTCTTTGTTTTAAGTATAATTGTGTGGTTTATGTTTTGTTATTAGGGTGACCAAAATGAAGTGACCATCCATTACTCAACTGTAAGGGAACATAAGGTCAACCGATCCAGGAGACAAAGGAACAGCACCAAGACTGAATGCGTGTACTCAAGTATTAAGTAGTCCAACTGTACATGTTTTATATTTGTTCCTGTTTAAAAAGACAAATAAAGGCTAAGGGTTTCTAAGCAAGCCCAAAAATTGGACTGGATTAACTTCTTTTTTAATCTAAAATTAGAGGAGGGACATACCATTTTAAATAAACGCATCAACCCAATGGTGCCCCAACTTGTGGACAGCCACAATACCAACATTGGTTTGTCTGGACATGTTTATCTACCAGAAAGACACCTCCAAATTCAACAATTATCTTGCATGGACGTTCCGGTTTTCCATGACTGTCATACGCAGTAGGTGATGGGTCTGTGTCTCAGTACTTAAGAGTATCTTCAAAAGTTTACAATATTTGCTTCACCACCATGCGAGATAGAACTGTATGAATTCCCACTGTTACAGGAAATGAGAAAACAGAAGGTAAGACGGCTAAACATTATAGTAGAGAAATAGCAGGTATAGTTCTACATTCCAAAGTGGAAATATGACTTTCATCCCATATGTAACTTAAATCCTGAATGTTTAGTCAAGCCGAAGCAAGCCTTGATATTGTCGCAATCTTCAAGACAGTCACACTTCTGAATAAAAAAATGTAAACTGAACTGATCTTGGTACATTTAAAGTTTTCAAAGTAAACATTCACTGGCTTGGGTCCAAACAAATCTCAAAGTACACAGGCTTCATCATTTTTAGATCAGTTTACAATGAGTCATGGGATCATAGTTAATGGACTTGTTTTTTACTATTTTGCCAGACTACTCAATAAGATATGTTTCACACACACACACACACTCTCAATTGTTTTGTTTTCACACACACACACACACACACACACACACACACACACACACACACACACACACACACACACACACACACACACACACACACACACACACACACACACACACACACACACACACACACACACACACAGTGGCCCATTGTTCTGGAAAGTTTGCATATATACTGAAGTTTCCATTTAGCCAACCTCATTGTGGTTTACCTGTGAGTTGCCATGTATTATTATTTACAGTATGTCTTGACTCATTGGCTCTGTACAGAGAGCAAATATAGTAAACACATTTTCAAAACCATTTTTTGCTGACACTTTGTCCAAAAGCAGGTCATAGGGAAGGTTTTTCTTGCTTCAATGTGAAACAGCCAATCATGTTTAACAAGGTAAATATGGTGAACCAATCAGACCTGACGGATGTGCCCCAAATGTAGGACAAGTTGTAAATGAGTTAAGTCTGAACTGCTGCTGAGCAGAGGCCGGACCAGTGAATGCAGATAAAGAAGACAAGATGATCCCGAACTTTGTGAATGTCTTCCTGCTCTGGCCTTTGTGTAAGTAACAATGATCCACTTGTGGAATCTTTTCATCATCAAACTAAAAGCTAATCTCTGTCTTTATGTTTCAGGTGTGGCACAGACAGATGACATTTCTCAGCCGGTTCCTTTCCAAATGGTGAAGATTGGAGACTCGGCTACTATTGAATGTCACATAAAAAGTATCATACAAAAGCGAGTCTGGTACAAATACACGTTAGGGAAGAGACTGCAGCTTGTGGCAGCATTTAATGACAAATATAATTGGAGTGAAATTTCAGAGGAATTTCCTAACCGTTATTCAGCCAAATTTAACGGAACCAAAATCCACCTGAGCATATCTGCAACAACATGGGTAGACGTTGGAACATACTTCTGTGGAGTCGTGCAATTAAACGACATCCAATTTGGATCGGGAACCTTTTTGATGCTGAAAGGTATTTTGTAGGTTGTTATCAAAGCACCCAAGGTAATTTTAACGTAATGCTAATGATGTAATTCTTTGATTTGCATCCCAAGGTGCAAACATGATCAGTGAGTCTGTCATCCAGCAGCCAGAGTCAAAATCAGTCCAGCCAGGAGACTCTGTGACCGTCAGCTGCTCACACACAGGCCACTGTGCAGCAGAACACACTATTGTCACGTGGCTGAAGAACTCTCAGCATTCTGCTCCACAAATTATTTACTTCTCTGGAAATGGGACCTGCCAGAGGAAAGAGAGTGGAAAAACAACCTGCGTGTACAGCCTTCTCCTGAGGGACCTCAGCTCCGATGATGCTGCAACCTACTACTGTGTCGTAACTTCCTGTGGACAGACACTGGTTGGAGACGGGACCAAGCTGGACTTTGAGGGTAAGTAACTTTCTAGCAGAGGTTGTTGCAGTTCTCATTGGTACTTTCTTAACAAACTTTGGATAAAAACCTACTGAAAGCTCTGTTTCTCTCTACAGGTGGCGTGGACTCTGGTTTCTTGGTGCATTTCTCGAGTATAGCTTTGACATTCACCACCATCCTGAGTGTTTTACTGGCTTTCTTAGTGTGCATGATGAACAAGAAAAACAGCTGCCAATCAACAGGTAACTTGTACAGTTTGTATCTTATGGCTTGATTTAGCAGAATTTGGTCTTTGATTAAAAATAACCATTTCTGTTTTTTCCAGTTCCGTCCACAGCAGAAGCCGAAGTGAGTAAAATCAGTTGACAATAAATAACTGCTAAATTACCATTTAAACACCCTATTCCTTCCAAATAATTTTCCTGGAAATCAGTTTTTATATTTTGCAGGATCACAATAATGATCTACTTATATATATTGTGTTGCAGGAGTACCAACGTGGAGAAAATATCTACTATGCTGCTTTAGGTGTGAATCTGAAAAACAGATCAAGAAGACAGAGGGATCCAACCTGGAGTGAATGTGTGTATTACAGCGTAAAGCAGTAGAACCTGACATGGTGCAATTTGTACTTTTGAGTTGGAGTTTTTTTCTTCTTTGTGGACTGCAGCAAAAAAAAATCAATCTATTCTTCATTAATGTTCATTTTAGCATAGTCTTTTTCACTGTGTGGTCGAAGCAGGATATGTCCGCAACGTTCTTTCAAATAAACCATGTGTCTAAAGTTTTTTTAGTACCTATGAATACATGTTTTTGTATGAGTTAACCTGTAGCCTATATTTAGAAGCTTAGATGCTGTAAAATTCACTTGAATACTTTTAAGTTTAGGATCATCTTATCAATTTTATTGTCATTTTTTTTAACAAAATAAAATGTGTAATTTTGTCTGTGCAATTTATGTCGTTAATAATGAAATAAACGTCAAAACTCGGAACAATATTGCGTGTGTCTTCTTGTTAATCCAACAGCTTTTATTCGCACTAGTGACACTATTTTTATTAGAAAACTCAGCGCACAAAGGTTAGTAACAGGAAGTGTTCTGCTTTAAGACGTTACAGTGGTCCGTTCTGGTTCAAACACAATACATAGACAAATAAACTCAACAGTCAGTATTTTTTTGTTGTGTTGTATCTCTTAGTGCAGCAGCGTTTGTGGTTTTGAGCAGGATGTAAGGGTGTTTGCTTTCTCACATAGATGATACTTAATTGAAAGACCACTTGCAGTCCTATTTCAAAAGTAGAATACTTGTTAGGTCACATTTAACAATACGGAAACTACTAATACTTAGAGGTCCGGTTAAAAGTCCTTTTGGTTTGAATATATTGGTGATGCATATATAAGCATGAATATATTAGTCTCATATGGATGCATTGAATTAAATCAATGTCTCCTTTTTATGGCTCCATTATCACTGAGACATGTGCCCATATCAATATAACTATGGGAGGAACAGTGTTTCTTTTTTACTTGCTTCAATAATCACCTTTTGTTATAATAATAATGTTTTAACTAACAAAACCCATCATGGAGCCAATAAAGATTTACATCATGCCATTGTTTTATTGACTTTCCACTGTATATGTTCCACATACCTCTGGCCCAGTATAGTATTTTAGAGTCATTTGTATCCAATATTCCTTTGATATTCTCATAAACTTACAAGAGGGGTAATATGGATTTGTGGATCTTAAAATACCATCCATTTTGATGATTAATGGCAAACCTGTCGTACTAACCAAGCTATAGCAAAAGCCTCAAAGAACAAATATTTCATCCACAAATGCAGTTGGGGTCATTTCTTTCCCATTTTGGAAAATGATTGTGCCAGCTTCCTGTGCTATTTAGGTTAAAATTGCCAAGAATAATTTTCTATGGACTCATAGAATTGGTAATCAATGTCAGAATAGAAAGGTGCAGTCCATATCATGTACATCATGTATCAGCTCACTACAATGAGTCATGGGATCATAGTTAATGGACTGGTTTTTTACTTTTTTGCCAAACTACTCAACAAGATAATGACACACACACACACACACACACACACACACACACACACACACACACACACACACACACACACACACACACACACACACACACACACACACACACACAACACACACACACACACACACACACACACACACACACACACACACACACACACACACACACACACACACACACACACACACACATTGTTGTGTTTTATGTTTAACTGAATATCCACCACTTTAACCTCAGAGAACTCTTGTACATTTACCCCACTTTTTCTCTTTTTTTTTCACCTACTGTATAATGGCTTATATGCTGTTGCACTACACAAATCGTCTGTACTTATGGAAGAAACATTGCAATCTTTAAGAACACAGTGTTTGATCCAACAATAAAGTGAGTTTAGAAAAACAACATGGGAATTTACAGCTATTTAAAACAGCTGATGGAAGGACCACTGAAACGATGAGCACCTTTAACCTCTTAAGCACGGCGGTCCCCCCATTGGACCCCTCCCACCGTTTTGTTTTCGAGATAATGTCTCAGGGCTTCTTAACATTTATGAAACTATTAATGTGTAGCACCAGATTAACGGGAAGAATCTCAGCTAACTGAAGATATGAACCATTTTTACCAAAACAAAACACAAGTCTCATAAGAAGCGTCTAAATGACCCCTGAGCGAAAAAATTCTAACGCACTGCGGCACACAATTCAAGATAAAAATACCCTTATTACTTATCGTAGCTGCACATACAATATAGCCGATTAAAGCTGAGACTCCACTGATTATTTAGGTATAGTATCATCACTGAGCGATCCGAACTTGCGACAGGGGAAGCAAACACAGACATCACAACACGTACCTTTACGGAGCTTTTACGGCAGATCGTCTCACCGTAGCTGTCAATTAGGTCAAAAGACGTGTTCAATGGCATTAAAACGAAAAATTATTTATAATCCATAATTCCATTTTTTATGTAAAAATCGGAGCGGAAAAGTTAGCTGCTAATGGTAGCCACCAGAGTGTATGCAGCTTCCGGTTTTGGTAACGCGTCACTCTCACTCCTTATTTGTTAACGTGTTGGTGTGTATATAACTTTCCCTCGATTCCATTGGCTCTAGCGGTTATAAAGAGATTTCATTCATCAAAATCGAGCAAGGGGGGCCAGAGATAGGCCAAATCCACCCAAATGACCCCAGAAGTGGGTTTTTTTGGCTAAATCTCTCTAAAAAGGTCAAATTTCACTTGTTTTGCATCAATCTTGATACAGGGTACTTATTATATGTTGTACTTTGGATTCCTAAAGCTTTTAGTCTACTAACCCATCATCCAAGGGTAGTTTTCACTATAAGTAAAAAATAATTTTTGGACGGACACTATCATTTACAGTTTTTTACTATGTAAAATCTGAATTTGCTTTAAAATAAAAAACATCTATATTGATTCTGACTTTTCTACATCCAACTCACAGGTTTATCATTACTTTGAGAAAAAAGATTATTAATTTAACCCTTTTAGAAGGGAAGATATGGTCATTTGTTCTGGGAATGTCATTTTCGAGCCTGAGACCTGAAAAACAGGCTCAGGGCTTAAGAGGTTAAGCTCACAATCAGTTCAAAAAGATTACAAAAAGCTCCTTGTTTACCTCTCATGGTATCTAGCACATACATGTTTTTGTCCCAGATATTCAAATATTCTCTATATCTGCCTCTGCCCCTAAACAATAATGGAGTGGGACTATTTTATACTGAAGAAATAGTCCCTCTGAAACCTGCCATCACTGTTTCTTCAAAAAGCCTCACGCTATTCATTGTTTTTTTTAAACGTTCTAGTTTGCCAGTTGGCTTACCTCATTCAGGTCAGTGTAACCAAGTGCTATGGTACAGCTGCAGTTATGTTGAATTATTTCTTATATACATACATACATACATTATAATAGCCTTTTGCATGTAGACACACTTTCAGTTTGAGAACTCATGACATCTTTGCAAAAGTCTTAATAAGTCTATAAAATGTGTGTGGCCCATTGTTCTGGAAAGTTTGCATATATACTGAAGTTTCCATTTTGCCAACCTCATTGTGGTTTACCTGTGAGTTGTCATGTATTATCATTTACAGCATGTCTTGACTCATTGGCTCTGTACAGAGAGCAAGCATAGTAAACACATTTTCAAAAGCAGGTCATAGGGAAGGTTTTTCTTGCTTCAATGTGAAACAGCCAATCATGTCTAACAAGGTAAATATGGTGAACCAATCGGACCTGACGGATGTGCTCAAATGTAGGACAAGTTGTAAATTAGTTAAGTCTGCTGTTGCCTACAGTAAGTAAGTCTGAACTGCTGCTGAGCAGAGGCCGGACCAGTGAACGCAGATAAAGAAGAAAAGATGATCCTGAACTTTGTGATTGTCTTCCTGCTCTGGCCTTTGTGTAAGTAACAACGATCCACTTGTGGAATCTTTTCATCATCAAACTAAAAGCTAATCTTTGTCTGTCCGTTTCAGGTGTGGCACAAACAAATGACATCTCTCAGCCGGTTCCTTTCCAAACGGTGAAGATTGGAGACTTGGCTACTATTGAATGTCACATAAAAAGTATCATTAAAAAGAGAGTCTGGTACAAATACACGTTGGGGAAGAGACTGCAGCTTGTGGCAGCATTTAATGACAAATATAATTGGAGTGAAATTTCAGAGGAATTTCCTAACCGTTATTCAGCCAAATTTCACGAAACCAAAATCCACCTGAGCATATCTGCAACAACATGGGAAGACGTTGGAACATACTTCTGTGGAGTTGTGCGATTAAAAAACATCCAATTTGGATCGGGAACCTTTTTGATGCTGAAAGGTATTTTGTAGGTTGTTATCAAAGCACCCAAGGTAATTTTAACGTAATGCTAATGATGTAATTCTTTGATTTGCATCCCAAGGTGCAAACATGATCAGTGAGTCTGTCATCCAGCAGCCAGAGTCAAAATCAGTCCAGCCAGGAGACTGTGTGACCGTCAGCTGCTCACACACAGGCCACTGTGCAGCAGAACACACTATTGTCACGTGGCTGAAGAACTCTCAGCATTCTGCTCCACAAATTATTTACTTCTCTGGAAATGGGACCTGCCAGAGGAAAGAGAGTGGAAAAACAACCTGCGTGTACAGCCTTCTCCTGAGGGACCTCAGCTCCGATGATGCTACAACCTACTACTGTGTCGTGACTTCCTGTGGACAGACACTGGTTGGAAATGGGACCAGAATTTATATTCACAGTAAGAAAGAAACTATATTTATAAAAGTGTTCAAAGTTCTTCTTATTCGTAGCCAATTTTGAAAATAATAAACGCAGATATCGTGTATTTATGTACCCAACCGTTCGAAAAAGCCCAGAGTAAGTCCAAGCTTAATCAAGCTGATTAATCAAGAAAAGAATCAGCAGATTGGTCAACTATAACAAATCATTGTTATTTGGAACTATTAGGTGAGGATACTTTGGTTAAAATAGTTATGGTTGATGCATTATAAGGGTTTTGCAGCAGGTCTAGGATTAATGGTAATTTAATGTTTTTATTTTAGAATTTCTAGAAAACTAGTCTGTTGTATTGGATTGTGATAGAGTTGCTATAAAAACTAAAACTATTTGCATGGATATATTATATTGCATATAAATACGATATGTACGAGGGTCTGGGTTGGGATTGGAGTGTTGTATTCTGTGTGATCTGACCCTTTAATATGTATTACTGCCTTAAACTGTCAACAGTAAGTGGCGGAAATGTGAGCGTATTTAGTCCAGAGAATACATTAAAGTTTTTTAAATGAATGACATTACACTGCTAGGTATTTGTATCAAAGATCGAGACGTATTAAGCACTGTTTGTTTATTTTCTTCTGCAGACAATGCTTTCGAATCACAACTAAATCCAACCATTATTGCTCTGATGCTGTCCAATATCGCTCTTGGGATTATGACAGTCATCCTCATATCCACTCTTTGCAAGAGCCGGAGGAGAGACTCCACAGGTATTACACCATGTGTTGTAACGGTCAGCTTTAGATCTGCAGCAGAATCAGAACTGGAATTGAGTTATATTTTTTGTTTCTTCAGCGTCAACTGATGGATCTTCAGAAGATCATCAAGTATGAGTTTGTCTCAGCACCAACAATTTCCTTTGTATGCCGCATATGACCTTTACCGTTTGATTTTTAATCTGCCTTTTGATTTCCTGCTTCTGAATTATTTGAATTTCCATTCCTCACAGACTGGTGATGCAGTTACCTATACAGACCCCAGAAGCCTGCCCCGCAGACAAGCTGCAGTGAGATACTGTGAAGGTTCTGTCCTATATTCAGACGTCAGACACTGTCAACCGAACCGAGAAGATTCATCTTAAGAAGGCGGACAACAAGGAAGAATGAAGACTGATGGAGCATGAATGGATTATTGTATATATCCTATCAGAGCCGGCAGCAGACCTAAATACATGGGTGGGCATTTGATTTATGGGGTCGGGCCCAAGGTAAAAAAATCTGTTTATTGATCGTGCTGATTCATTACCAGCATATCTCCCTATCTATACGTCAAATTATGTGCATCTTGAATTTCACTGACCTGAAAACAACATGGTTAAAGTATATTCCTATTTAAGTATTGAAAACACAAATTAACCGGGGCATTGGCGATATCGGCCCAGCAGAATGATAAAGTAGGAACAACTGAAATATTCAAGCTACCTGGAACCTCTGTAGGTTCAACATTTTGATTAAAAAAAGCAATTTTTCTATGTGTTCCGTCTACTCATTTACATGCAAAGATCACGTCGGATCATTGAAAAGTGTACATTTGTAAAGTGACTGCTAACACGCTTGTATATTTTGAAGATTAAATATTAATGTGATGTGAAAATATTCAAGCTTTGCCATATCTGCCTGTGGCGCTCAGGGCTGACTATTCTGTGGATTGATGTAACATGTTATACTGTATAATGTACTGCCAGTGCAATATAACACATACTAATGGAACATGGAAATAATAAACTTATATATCAGTGAACAGTGGTGCTTTATTGACGGAAAAAAACATATTCGGACAAATGTTATTGTTTAAGTGAATAAGAGAGGACATAATTCAGTGAACAAGGAGTAGTATTCTACACTTTCCTTAATGACCGAAAGACAGAAGCTTCACAACAGACAATAAGACCAACCAGTACAGTACATTTAAATGAAGTTAGGTTGATTTAGTGTCTGCAGTCTAAGTCAACAGAGTAAAATGTGCTGAAAGATCAAATATATACAGCATTGACAACCATGGTAAAAAAAAAATCCCCTCTGGTCTATTTATATCATCTTCTATCTAAAAGCGTAAGCAGACGGTAAAACATCTCTGCTTTTCGCTCTTGTTTTGACTCCTGTGGTGAATATGGTCTGAGCTACCGTGAGCAGGTTTCCGCTGGTGGAAACTAAAGGCCTTGTATAAAGACAGGAAGACTGGCCTGGGGTCTACAGGCAAAAACGTTCAGCAACTCAGACAAAATCAAGAGCAAACAAGAATGTTAAAAAGGGGCTGCAGCGCTATATAAGGCTCATGTCTTAAAGGGCCCATGTCATGGCCATTTCCACTGATCATAATTCCATTGTTGAGGTCTACTAGAATAGATTTATATTGTGCAATTTTCCAAACTCACATTGGTTTCTCATACAGCATCTCTGTAAACTACGTGTATTCACTGAATTTCACTCTCTGCCTTTAACGGCTCGTTGTAGCTCCAATAGCTCCAGCCCCCACCCTCCCTGTGAGCACAGTGTGCTCTGATTGGTCGGGACGTTGTGAATCGCGCTGAGCTCCGTGGAGGAGTTGTTTCCTTGTTAGCGATACACAGCCAAACACAGCCAAACTCATCCTGAGCATACACAAAGTCACAGCCGAAGTAAAAACAATAAGTGTGGCTTGATATTGAGTAAGAAAAAGGTTGATAGTGGATAGTGGAGCCTCGCAGATAGGGGTGCTGCAGACCCCTCAGCACCCCCCCCCTTCCCGCGTCCATTCGCGATGTCTCGCTGTCTCACAGACCCCACGCAGCAACCAGGTAATTAAACCAGCTCACACTGTCCGCTCCTCACAGCAGCGAACCGCGCAACGTCCCACTAACACGGCACCCAGACCCCACGCAGTATTCTCATCTGTTTGTCATTACTGGTGTCATTTTCTGGTTGCAAACGCCATTGTAACACATCATCACTGATGTTCCGCTGTAACGGTGGTGGACTCATCAGAACAGAGTGGGCGAGCTGACCAATTAGAGCACACTGGGCTCACGGGGGGGGGGGGGCAGGAGCTCCAACAAGCCGTTTAGGACAGAGAGTGAATACACATACTATACAGAGATGCTGTATGAGAAACCAATGTGAGTTTGGAAAATTGCACAATGTAAATCTATTCTAGTAGACCTCAACAATGGAATTATGATCAGTAGAAATGGCCATGACATGGGACCTTTAAATGCAGATAACATGCTGTGTACACAAAGTGAAAATGCAATCTCACCAGCAAAAGACAGAATGACTACTGCTGAAATAATGCAGTAGGAGGTGTATTAACCTACTTTTTTAAAGAGTGCCTGGTATGTGTTAACTCAATAATAGTTGTGCTTCCGGGCTCTGAATGACTGATTTATGTGACATAGAAACATGTTTAATTTATTTATTTTATTGGTATTACCAAGGAAGCTTTGCTAACAATTTTGGATGAACCTCCAAGAAGATTTTTGAGTTTACACTTGATCCTAAATTTGGCAAATCTTTCGAATTAATAGGACGAATGAACGCAAGAAAGTGAACTGAAGAATGGGAAAGAGACAAAGGTGAATATATTGCAACAAAAGTTCCACGAGGCTAAAATCAAACACAACACATTGTGGTTGTATAGCAATTTTGTTAGTATTTAGACCAAGGCGCACCATGTTCTTCTGAATGTATAGGCCATGAAGCAATGAAAGGGTCACGTTTAAAAGAAAAATAAATACAAGGTTTTCATCTAGATCAATGTCCTTCTGGGTCAGTTAAGCAAAAAGGAAACAACCACAACAATGTAGTACAAATAGGCATTGGAAAGGTTAATTTTATATCATTTGAGATTGGCCTAGAAATAAGACACGTGACAAATTAGGGTTAGGGTTTCCAATGGGGATAATGCGTGGCAGCTCCGGAGATCGACATTTGGTTAGAGTTTGTAGGGAGGTTAGGGTTAGGGTTACAGCAGCAAAAATAACTTTCCTGATCCTGGGGGGGCGGGGGGGGGGCTGTGTTGGTCCGGTATCAATCTACCATCTTCCTGACAAAGCACTTGCATTTGTGGCCAATACAAATAGGAAAGTAAAAAAAGTTCAGTAGCGCAAATTGCCTTCATCTAAACTGCTATATATCTTTCATTGGGAAAGCATTTGTTGTTTAATTGCTAAAATTCCCTTCTAACTATAGACAGGTGTTTATCTCTGTGAAAGCACTTTCACAACCTTTCAAAACCTGCATGCTGTAGTAGACTCCAAATAATATGACCTATTACTGTTAATTTTAGTGATATAAAACCAAGCTTTATAATTTGTTTTTAATTAATTAATGTCCTTAACCGTGGATCAGACACAAGGACAACACTTAAAATGGGGTTATATGTTTTTTAATAAGTTATCTGGAAAAGCATTCCTTCCACCTGTATGCCAACCATTATATGGAAAACTGTTACAAAATAAACAATGTTGAGCAGTTTCAACTATGTAGTATTTCTGATGAGACCAAAAATGTCAAGTAGGGCACTAAACATGTGTTCACTATTTCTAAAATAGGACGTCTAATCTGATTGGCCGATCAAACCCAGTGTTCTCTGTGAAGGGTGGAGAACCAACAGAGATGCAATTCATTCAACATAGCGTCTGAAGCACGATGACACCTCCAAACATTGCTTTGCATGTCCTATGTCTGCTCTTGGCAAATGTTGGTAAGTTGTGTTTTCTATGGTATTTTTTTAACTCTAAACTTTGACTATGCTTGTAACTTGTTTCCATGCATTTTAACACACCAGCATTACATTAATTATCTGTTTTCTTTGTCTCTTTATTTTCTCCTCAGCTTATACAACAACTTTGAAATCATCATTACATTATCATTCATATGCTGGAGAAAGTGTGACTTTGCCTTGTGCCTTCGATGACTTTAATGTTAATACAGTGATGCTTTACTGGTATAGGCAAACTCTTGGACAGAAACCAGAGCTGGTGTCTACATTCTATCGGCATAATGATAAAAAAGACAGCTCTAATGATGGATTAAACAAACTTTCACGTTTCTCACTGGATACAAAAGAAGGTACAAACAACTTGAAGATAACACATCTGCAAATATCAGACTCGGCTACATACTTCTGTGTGGGGAGCGATTTATATAGCTTTAAATTTGGTGATGGAATTACTGTCAATGTCAAAGGTTCAGGTTTGAACATCCCAGCTTTGGTCCATCAGTCAGCATCTGAGATCATCCAGTCAGGAGACTCTGTGACTCTGAACTGTACTGTACACACTGGCAGCTGTGATGGAGAACACAGTGTTTACTGGTTCAAAAACTCTGAGGACTCTCCAGGACTCCTTTACACCCGCGGAGGCAGGAATGATCAGTGTGAGAGGATACCCAACACACAAACACACACCTGTGTGTACAACCTGCCAATGGAGAGCCCGAATATTTCTCAAGCTGGGACCTACTACTGTGCTGTTGCCTCATGTGGACACATACTGTTTGGAGACGGGACCAAGCTGGACTTTGAGGGTAAGTAACTTTACGGAAGAGGTGGTCTCATTTAGTGATGTTAACAAACTTGAACGATGGATTTGCATTTTCTAAGTCTTTATTAATACTGGCCAGAGACTGCACGGCATTTTTTCATTTGTCCCACACATTTAGCCGATGTCCCGCATTTGATTGACAGTCGCCCGTCTAAAACGTGCCTTTTATCCAAAGGTGTTTGGAAAACAAGAAAGGGCTATCACCATTAGCTGTGTCAGATGTCAATCAATCAGCAGAGACATTTTTATTTACTTATGGGTGTAGCCGATGGAGGTCGATTACCAGGGAGTTTTTGTGAGATTTCTTGTGAGATTTTTTTCAATTGCGCATGGAGGTGAATACGTTTTGTAGCGCCGCTTATCCGAAACTCACCAGAAATGCCTGACCCATAAAGAAAATATTGATCTATGGATATATTCCTCCTGAAACCAAAAGAGGATTACCAAACAGATATGGTACTGTACCAGCAGCTGATTTAATAAAAGTTTACCACACTGTGCGGCTCTCCCACAGGTCAGCAGTCTGTTAGCTAGCTCTTGTCATTTTTCCAGACTCGGAGATCACAAAATAATTAAATAATATTTATGTGGGTTGTTGGCAGCTGGTCACCCTAACTGGCCATCATTATTTCCTAGCGCAACTCCTCCACATAATTACAAAGTTTAGCCAAATCGAATAAAAGGATATTGTTGTTTAGGCAGGTTTGTGTTGGAATTTTGCTGGTGTTAAATCCTGGAAACATACATTATTTCCTCTATTCCTCTATGAAGTATTTATTTGCTGCAGCTCAGACACTAAACAATTTATATAGAAACACAAGAGATCTTTGTACTCAAAAGACTGATATTGGAAGATAAAAAGGGGATTTTGTCTCATATGTTTTAGAGTAGTTGTGCTAGCTAACACTAACCCCATAAACCTATGAACAATTTATTTTGTTTGGCATGTCGCTTCTTAGTATTTGAAAGATACATTTTGTTTAACTAAGACTGCTAAAGCCTCAAATAAGCTTAACCTAGAATTTGAATTTGATCACATATAACTTACAATAAACTCCCTTGGGAAAATATCTTGTTGTGGCTTGTAGGATTTAAAATGACCAATAACCTTTAAATGTACAACTAGGCCTGTAAGTATTGTGTTTTTAAAGATATACAGTTGAACAAAAATCCAATGCTATCATTTAACCAACATTGAAGAAAACATCTCAAAGCTCTGTAATTTCTCCTGGGGTTCGCCTCTTTACAGATGAAGTTCTCTCTCTTGCCTTGGTGTATTTCTTGAGTGGAGCTTTGACTGTCACCATCATCCTGATAGTTTTACTGGCTATCTCAGTGTACAAGATGAACCAAAGGAACTGCCAACATTCAGGTAACAATATTTATTTGAAGCTGGAAACAAGTATTGAGTGCATATTGCATTAAAATAACATTACTTAATTTTGTCTCAAACAGAGTGCAATGCCACATTTTCAACGTCTTCTACTCTGCATACAGAAGTGAGTATCATCTTTCCATTGAAAGATAAACTATGTTTGCTGTTTCTAGAACTCATGTGCGCTATACAATCGTCAAGTTAACAATATAACTTATACTTGAAAAAAGGGGTGTTGACGATATACAGCAATACTTAAAATAAAAAATATGTATTTCATTTTTAAAATACACATATGACAATAAAGTAAAAAATGCAATGCCTTTCAATCATTGCGGTGTTTTTCTGTTTCTCACTTAGCTTTCTATTTGCCAAATAAATTGATAAAACACCTATTTAATTCAAAGATGAATTTGACTGAAAGCATAACCTTTTTTTCTACAATTGTTCTATAAATGTCGTCATCATTAATAATTTTGTCCTTGATAATCTTATAGTGAAAATCTCAGGACAACCCTTTTCGACAAATGAGCCTGAATATATTTTTTTTTTTCTCAGTACATGCCTGTGTTTTTCTTTGTCTACCACAATATCAATACATTTTATGTTTCTTTAGCAGTCCGGTCAAGGCGCAGAGAACCTTCATTATGCTGCTTTAAGGCAACACAACGGCAACAGATCAAGAAGAGAGGGGGAAAACACCCAGTCCGAATGTGTGTACTCCATTGTAAGGCAGTAATGCTGCAATTGTTTCTGTACTATGTTTCTGTATACAAATATATTTGTTAAAAGAATCATTTAAATTTCACCAAATTCAATAAATATAAAAGCTTGCCTTGCAATAAAACGTTCTCACATACAAAAAATACCACTTGGTAGCCTTTTTCTTTAAAGGTCACGTATTATACGATATTTCAACAATATATTATAGGTCTCAGATATATACAAAGAAAATTAGAATTTTCGCAGCCTGAAACAGCACAGCGTCTAGTCTTCTTAAAAATCCTGCTGAAACCGGAGGCCAGAAATACACAGACACACAGAAGTGCTGTGGCAGGGGATTCAGGTAAGAGGGTGGGCGGGGGGGTTACCGTGGTCGGTTTGTTGCTAATGCCATAAAAGCCACAAAATACAAGATGACGTCAACACATAGATACATTTTTGGATCTCATCTGTAGATCCTATGCAAATCTTTACTGATGTTTTAAAGGGTTATGGACAGGAAATAAGACTTACCTTGACTTGACTAGGTCCAACACAGGGAACCGTTAAATACATCACTGTTTTTTGTTGTTATTTTTTAGGAAAGATGTCCAAATTCTGTAAGTGATCTCTGCCTTTAACCACTCTTAATCCTACTTCTGCGAGTCCATGGTCTTTTGTTTGTTTTCCCCCTTCAATCAGCTCCCAGGTGTGTCCCATGTATCCCCTTCCCCAACTCCATTTCCTGTTTAGGTTGAAAATGGCTATTTCCTGATTTTTTCTTACACACATCTGCACAGGCCGCATGAAGGATGACATTGTACTTGTGCATTACACAAACAATTCCAAAGAAAATAGATTTCTTTAATTTAGGATTTTTTATTTGTGTGTGTTTTGGGGTTCTTTGATGTATTGTGCTGTCAACGTAGTTATCTGAAATGTTGAAGCATTCGTATTGACTGTTATTTTTTCTCTTCTTTCCTTTCTTAATTTATTTATTTTTGTCAAATGAGTGTAATTACCGTTATTTTATTTTAGTATTGTTTTATTGTACTTTACTTTTTTGTGAGATGGGAATGTCATCTCCCCTCCATTGTTGTTGTCTCATGGTTTGTGTCTCCTGCGTGTACTAAATAAATAAATCTAAAATAATAATTGAATTAAAAAGTGCCTATAAATGCCAATAATTAAAATGTGTTGTGTGTTATTATGTACATTCCCGGAAAAATAAATATAATTAATCATGTTTTTGTGAATATCATTTGTGTTGTGTTCCATCTTTGATTCATCACAGAAAACAGGCCACACTTTTTGTCCCTTTCTATAATAGATCTTATGGTTGTCAGTACCTTCCTATACATGTATATTATATTCTGTTTTGCGCATTGTGGTGCCTATTTACGATCATGTGCTCACTCTGTGTGGGGGGCCTTAAGCAGGATGTCCTCATTTTGTTTCAAGGAACTTACCAAGACTTACACTCTGTGGATGACAGGAACCTATTTCTGTGATCACACTATTGTGTTCAGAAGCAGAAGTTCATTGCGTATTGTGTGGGTGTATTTATTTTTAAACACACAAATCAGAGCTTAGGTAATGGTGTGGTTAGGAAAACCTGAACAAAGTTTATGGGTCAATTAGAAAATACAGTCACACTTTTCTCACACTCCTTTGATAGTTTGATTTTTTATTGATGTTAAAAAAGTTGCTTTTCTTAATAAAAGAATAATACAACCAACACAAAACACACATTCTTTTGGTACGATTTCTTAACTGTTACAGAGATTCGGAGCAAAGTCAACTCTGCATTAAAGTCGAATCAGCATTAAAGACTTCACCCAAGCTCACTGATATAAACTAAGAAACAAATAGTTACAAAGAAGAAGATTAAACCAATTCTGATGATGGAAAGCCAGACTAAGATTCTCATCTGTTCCATATGGTCTTCGACATCAGCTTGGACGAGAACTTTGCTTCCATTTCCGAACAGCACCTCCCCACAGGAAGCCACAGCACAGTAGTAGGTTCCAGCATCACTGGAGCTCAGGTTGGTCTTCTGCAAATGGTACACGCAGCCCTGTGAAGGAGACCCCGCTGTGCGGACGTGGTTACTCTTGTTCTCATGCACGTAAAGAATACCTTGGCCAGTTTCTTGTCTGAACCAGTTAACACTGTGTTCTTCTTCACACGACCCAGTGTGTACGGTACAGTTGAGAGTCACAGAGCCTCCTGGCTTGATGGTCTCAGATACTGGCCCCTGGACGACTTTCTTGTGGTTGGTTCCTAAAATCAGCAGACAACAAGTATTTCATTTTTGGAAGGTATACAATTTACGTAGGACAAAACCTTATTTTTATGAATACATTTCTTTTTCTGTGATAATATATGAAAACTGATTTGCCGTTTGTAGAACATAAGTCAAATTGACGGGTGTTCGAATGGCTGCCTAATCTACTACAAATATTTGTCTCCATTGAAACGCATTGTCAATTATGCTTCGAGGGAAAATCATCTCCTACATTTTTTTTGTTGACATATGGCATAGGTTTCCTCGGAGAAATTGTACTTTATTTCTAAATGACATCAGAACATCAATAATGAAAAAAACATTCTTAACTAAACTAAACCTAACCAAGCGCCTTTGCTTTGTTTTGTTTCCATTTACAACGTTAACATTAACCATGTGTTTAAAACCACAACCGTATTCAGGGAGAAGATATGTTTCCCCTGAAAATGTAATTGAAAATGTAATTTAGTTCTACGTTTTTTTCAGGTAATTTGTACAAAAACTGCACATATCCAGCAAATTCTGCTTTCATGTTAGGTAAAAGCTAATATAACAACAGGCACAATACCTTTAACACTTAGAAAGACCCCCACTCCAAATTCCACTATGTTGGAGTGCGAGCTTCCGCAGAAGTATGTAGCTGAATCTGAGAATTGGGCGTCAGCGATGTGTAAATTATTCATCCCTTCCTCCCTTTTCACAGAGAAACGAAGGTTCTTCTCCATCCAGGGGAAGACTTTGGATTGTTTTTCATGCTTGTAAACACTAGACAGGAGCTCAGGTCTGCCTCCTAAGGTTTGTTGGTACCAGGAGAAGTGCATGGCCACTTGGCTGTTGTAGAAGCAATGTAAAGTCACACTGTCCCCAACATTGACGGAGATAACCCCGATGTCCTGTGTGACTGCTGCCGACTGGATCACTGCCGACAGATGAACTAGGTCAAAAACAGATAATGGTATACAACATAAGCTCATGTTCAATTAAACCATTTAAATTAGAATCACAGATAAAATACATTTCATAAAGGGACTTACACACTCCACAGAGGACCACATACAGGTTCATCGTCTCAGAGGTCTCAATAACTGAACGTTTTCGAGCAAAAGCGCAGACACAAGCCAAAAAAGGAGGTTACATTTGATTGGTTGGGAATAGGGTCAAACTTTGTAACACCTCAAACATCCGTTTTGGCCCGAATAACACAAAAAGTACATTGCATTAACCGTCAAGTTTGGCAATCACAGTATTTGTTATACACATTTAGCAGTAAATAATTCATATCTCTTTTTCTGCAATGTGGAATTGTGGCTTTCTCATGAACGCGGAACATTTAAACCATAAACAATGGACATTACGCGTGCTTGACAGTTCATACGAGATAAAACAAAATTATTGCTCTGTCACATTTAGTTTGGCCTGTAACTACTTTTGAAGCCATATTTAATGATATTGAGAGCAATGTAGGTCATTTAAAAAAAAATTAAAATTATTGCTTGAACTTGCTCTGCAGGTTTATTTAAGAATTCACAGTTATTACCCACGTTTTTTATACATTTCTCAAGAACATTTGGACATTTAACATCACTTCACATAGAAATAGCCCTTTTTTAGAAGATGAATTTGAATACAACCTCTATCGTCAAACTCTGACAAGACATCTTACTGAGAAAACACATTTTTGAATAGAAGGGGACTTAAAATGACCCCATGACCAGGGTTAATGGAAAAGAAAATGTGGTACATCATGCGAGGTTCATACTCAATCAGTGGGATAGAAAGTGTTTTACTGAAGGCAACTCTGTAAGCCAGAGATCTGTAGTGCCTCCTTGAGGAGACAAGATGAATCTAAGTTGTTTGCAGGAGTCAACTTGTTGCTCATTAAGGGGGGGAGAATGGCAGTGCTTGCACAGTAGGTCCTCTGGTTTGAAAAAGATAAGCTGTGGGTGCTGTCTGTGGCTGTTTTTTTTACGAATGTGGTCAGCATCTCACTCTGTTGAATCCAAAACCAAGTGACAGATACAACACAGAGTTTGGACCCCCAGGTCTATATGCTGCTATTCACACTTTTAAAGTTTGTTATTGGCACACTTGTGGTACTGACGGGAAAAGATGGGCCATTGACTGCAGGATGGGTCGGATTACTTTGTGTTCTGAGCACCTAAACTGCATAGTTTATTAAGAACATCAAACTTGCATGTGACCTATGCATGTCTGACCGTCTGAGCTGCCAGATAAGATTGTGACATATAAAGTGAGGATATCTTTCATAAAGGCTCTATAAAACGTACATATTTACTTACGCCGTCTGAAATCATTTGAGGGATGCTGTGTCTGAAATTGCATCTGGTAAAGATATCAGAGAGGTGAAAGATTTGAGCTTCCTTGCATGAACCTTTTATTCCCCCACCCCCTTTACAGTACGTAAATATAGAGTGCCCATGCAGTGATACGGTCATACGCACAATGGAAAGCTTCACCTTAATAGCAGCTGTGCTTCTTTGCAGTCTCAGTAAGTATTGAAATGTAATTAATGTCAACTTAATGGCTAGTTTTATAATTGTACATCCAACACGTAATGTGTTTCCGTATCAATTACGTAACTTTTATTAAGAGGTATTGTAAACCTTCATGTGGTTTTATAACAACTATATATTTTGTTGTGTCTGCTCTGTGTTTCAGGCTGGATCTCTGCCTCGGTTAGTCAGACTGTGGAGGTCCAGCCTGGTGAAGAAGTCACTCTGCTCTGCCCCAACGTATCCATCCATCCAACTCAGTCCGACTGGTTCAGAGTGTTCAACAGAGCCAAGCCAAGCTGTGTCTCCTCTATCTACGGGGCTGGTGGCGAAGCTTCATACTGTGATGGATATCAACATGGAAAATTTGAAATGAGTTCCAACCTGACCACTGTCTTTCTTAAAATCAATCAAGTGGATATATCTGACTCTGGACTGTACTTCTGTGGATTGTACATAGGCAAAAGTACAGTCATTTCCAGTGCAATCCAGCTAAACGTTGAAGGTAAGATTGTGATTAACTCCCACCTCTTTAAGAAATAAATTGTTCTTATAGTATTTACATTATATCTCAAATGTATTGGAAAACAGCAATAAGACAAATAAGAAACAAATATGTGTACAAAAAGATTCATGTCCATTTCTTCTTAAAAGGTAACGGTGAATCTGATGATGATGAATATGATTTCGAGACCAAAAGTAAGGTTCTCCTCTTTTATTTGCAATTTCCAAACAGCCAGTAATTACAATTTATTTTAACCATATCGTAAGCAACAGGATTAAATTACAGAGTTTAATTATATTCTTTTCTTATAGAGGAGCCTGATGAAATGGCATACCTGATGAGTTTAATTCTGGGATGCTTGGCTTTTTTGCTCACTATAGTCGTCATTGTTCTGGCTGTTAAAATAAGGAAGCTTCAGAGAGGTACAGTGGATTTAATTTTGTTGCACAGCACATTATGGAAAAAGTATATGATTAGTTTCAATTAACTAAAACACACTGACTTAACACACTTGTTTCTTTTTTTTATTTAGATGCAAATGAAGAATCTCAGCCCAAAAGACCCCAGGTAAACCCAATATTAATGTATACTCTGTGTTATGGTTTTAAAATGCATTTTAACAATTTTAATAATCTGGTATTTGTTTGGTCATGTTATCCCATGCTGCAGCTTGCATCAAACGTATTCAAGCAGGCATAAAGGGAGTCATAATAGTCTTCTTAAACAGAAAATGTATTCTAGTTCAGGCTCAGTACCTTGAAGGTATCTGCATTTTCTTTAGCAAAATTTGTGATTTTGCCAACAGTGATATATTTATTTCCCTATGAAACATTGAAATGCTTAATAAACTCAACCACAATATATGTTTTGTAAGGACAGAGATGTGTATGAAATGTATACACTGCGTACATTTACAACAGTTACAGAATTGTTTTCAAATTATCAAAAACACTGTTATCACTGTCATTGTAAGGTGGAGCGATATATGTCCTGTTAATGAATTAGCTTTTTTCCTCCGATGTGGCCTATTGTACAACCTTGGTTTCAATCATAAAACTGAGAAATTATTTTTTATTTAAGTTCAGTCAGACAACTCACGTGTTTCTTTGGTATGTTTATTAGAAGCAGCATATAGTTTGAGTTTGGCGTCTAGGCTCGGGCCTCATCACTCCACAGATTTACATTGAGTGATGATTATACTATCCCCCTCGAGCCTACAGTTGGATGCTGGGATGGTGGTGGGTCAGGCGAGCAACAATCGAGATGACTGCCCGAACTTTATTCTGTGCAGCACAACTCCGATTCTTTTAAAAGTCGTACTTTTTGTTAAATAAATTATGGTTGTCACTCATTTTAGTTTGGATTATTCCTTTGTGGGACAACCAGCAAAACGCCACATTTTACGGATTTTGCAAACAGCAGGTGACTGAATACTTTATTTTACAGAATATGTGCTCTGATGAACTGAACTACGCGGCTCTGAGTTTCCAGGCGAAGCCAAAAATAAGCCGCAGGCCTGCATCTGAGCGAGAGCTGGAGCCAAATGTAGTCTATGCTGCCACCAGATAGACGAAGGAAACGAGTGGAAATGCAGCTCAGAGTGGAAATAATGCTTTGTCATGGTACACTTCTCTTGTAGCTTCATGTGTGGGAGAATTCACTGGCAAAAAAATAAATGTTGAATATTGTTTCCCTATTTTCCCACTCAGGTTTCTTGTCTACCTTTTTTTTCTTCATCTAAGGCCACAAAGAGCGTGTTAATGTTTGATGGAGGGAGAGGCGTAGAACTGTCAGACCAACTTATATGGAAAGTGAAATGTTCTGCGGAGGGAGGAGGGAGTGACGTACACATCACTTGTTGGCAGGAAGAGACAGCACAATGGGGTCTGACAACAACTGAGGTGAACATTGTCGGGTCAAAGCAAAAGGAAGTGTTGAAAAGCAGCTTACTTGTTTATGGCAAACTTAGCGAGCTGCTGTATTTAGACTTTTTTTAGGAAATGAGGAGAAAAATGCTTTTTTTCACAGAACATGTAGATAAATCTCTTCTGACATTGTAAAATCTCTCCACTCCCCGTGACTAAAGTGTATTTACTATAGAGCAGGGAAGTAAGCTAATTAAGTAGCTTTAACTCAATCAAAAGCATCAAAAGGAGAGTGTTGATATTCAACAAGACTTCAGTCGTGAAGCCATGCTAGCAGCTCTGCATCAGCATGCTAAGATATTTAACGTATCAGTCGTAGGGGACATTTCATCTCACTCATGATGAACCACAAAAGTCAATCTCAATGTAGTGTTGGATCTAGCAGGATTCATCCTCTGGGGACCATGAATATCTGTATAAAATACCATAGCAAATCCTTTAAAAATCAATCACCAATTGATTTTCCATTGGAATGTAGCTCTTTTCATTCAAAATTGAAAATAAACGATAATTTCTGTATTATGTGATTATTAGGTGTTGGTAGCATGGAGATAAATACTTGTTGATGCAAACAATTATTTCAGACAGGTTTTTAAATTGCAATAAAACGTGTCTAATGTACGTCTTTCCAGAGATGACAAGAGGTGATTGCAACCAACTGAACACCCCTCTGCTGTCCCCTGTCTTGCAAAGCGTGTTGGAGACCTACAGTGGTTGGTAAAAAATGTGTAAGCCCTCTCTAAAGCAAGTGTTTAGTTTACCCGTTATATGCTACTGTCGAAACATGGTGGTGAAACATACTGTTTTGCGTGGTAGAGGAACCGCTCCTTGTGTAGATACTCAATTTAGGGCTCATTCTAGGAGAATGCAAACAAACAACATGAAAACTCCAAAAAGTTCCTGAGTTTTCAATTATAATGCAGTGATGGTAGATCATCATAGGACACATGATACAACTCCAAATGAAAATGATAAATAAAGCAAAAAACTGCATTCACAGATAAAAAAACAGATAAACACAATAAATCCTGTGCTTTGTTTTCTTATCATATTCCATATCAATTAGACTGTTATGGATAAGGTTAGGATGTTTTCAATGACGACTGCAGGAGAGAACTTGTATTAAGGCGTGTCAGAGCATTGGCAGGTCAGTGTGAACAAAAGACACCCCGCCTCTCTTTACCCCTTTATATAGTAGGGTGGTGAATACTCTTTCACTGACAATGACAATGAGGAGCTTCGCCTTCATAACAGCTTTTCTTCTCTGCAGCTTCAGTAAGTACTAGCACTTTATTATTCTCAGCGTCAAATTATGTAACCTACAATTTAAACATGCAACAATAGAACTGAACTGATTGTTGTTGTTGCTTTATTACTGTTGGCTTATTGCGGTAAATGCCGCTGTCTCTACTGTTTCAGTCTGGATCTCTGCCTCTGTTAGTCAGACTGTGGAGGTCCAGCCTGGTGAAGAAGTCACTCTGCTCTGCCCCAACGTATCCATCCATTCAACTCAGTCCGACTGGTTCAGAGTGATTAACATAACCAAGCCAAGCTGTGTCTCTTCTATCTACGGGGCTGCAGGCGAAGCTTCATACTGTGATGGGTTTCAACATGGAACATTGGAAATGAGTTCCAACTTGACCACCGTATTTCTTAAAATCAAGCAAGTGGATATATCTGACTCTGGACTGTACTTCTGTGGATTTGACATAGGCACAAGTACAGTCATTTCCAGTGCAATCCAGCTAAATGTTGAAGGTAAGATTGTAATTGAGTCATACCGCTTTCAGAGATGTATTTTTCTCATTTTAATTATAGTATCATTGAAATGTATTATATGAAAATAAAAACCATAAAAGTAAATAACGCAGAAATACAATGTGATTTGGAGACTAAAAGAAGGTTTTTTTTTTATGGTCGTATAATCTATTGAGTTTTTTGATATAGTATAACTTGAATTGTACGCAGTGGTGTGAAAGAAGCATAACAAACATGGATTCATTTATCCCCATTTTGTATAGATTATTTTGATTCCTATGATTCCAGGATTATTAGAGTAAGACTCTTCTAAAAAATGTTAACTATGTAAACTTGTTACAATTACAACCCATTTACACTTGTTATATTAACACTGTTAAAAGCAACTTTTTGAAGCCAAGCTGAGATGATTGGCTGACATGAAATAATTGTATCCCCATTTTATAGGTTATGTTGAGATGAAGTGCTCTTCGAGACTAACAGTAAGACTCTTCTCAAAAATGTTAACTGTTCAAGTTTTTTACAATTAGAACACATTTACACTTGTAATATTAACAATGTTAAATGCAATTGTATTTAGGAGACAGTGAAGGATTTGGAAAATACATGCCTTGGATGACTGTGAACCTGGGCACTCTGACTGTTTTCTTCATTGTTTTGGCTGTTAAAATCAGGAAACTCCAGAAAGGTAAGGCTGACAAACAGTTTGTTAAATGTTCTGTCATTTAAAGTTATAACAGACTAATCTTAATCAATGTATTTGTTTAAATCTAACTAATCAGGCTTATGTTTTGTCACATAGCTGCTATTGAAGAACTGCATCCTGAAAGAAACAAGGTATTTGTATAGTTTTTTCTTGATATGTTTTAATGGTGGTACTAAATAGGAACAAGTATTGAACTCCGGGCAATACAGAAGATTAAATGTCATTTGTTAGATGATGTGCTGGCTTGTTAGAACTGTAGTTACAGTGTGTGAAATACAGTGTGTGACCCTAAATATTGATTCACAGAATGTGGGCTCTGATTAGGTATCTGACCCCCCCCCCCCCCCCCCCCGGACATAATGCACTTATGTTTTCCCATGCTCCTTAAGGACCCGGGGAACATGGTGCGCAGTAAGCCCCCTGCAGGGCTGGAGGACTCTCTATTTTCCATGCACACTCTTCACGAGGTAAGCGTGTCTGAGTGTGCTCTACCCAGCCAAGTAAGCTGCGGCCCGACTTCTCCACGGTCACAACCGGAGGAGAAGAAGTTGCGGTGCAGTGGCTGTTAACCAAAAGCCGGTCAGGGGCAGTGTGATGCGTCGATGTTGTTGGACGACAGGGCGTTTATCCATCAGGGCTCCACCCACTGTACCCATAGAGTCCAGTAGAGTGCGGAGCCTGTGTAAGATATAACGGGGGGTTGCGTATTGTAACCCTAGTTATATAAGCACAGGCGGAGCCCTCTACCTGTCCTATGCCGCTCGCTGAAGAGGGTGTAGGATGACAGTCAGGAGGTGTCGCCGCTTTATATACTGTGGGCTTGCGCGCGCATTCAGGTAGGCCCGCCCCGAGGGGCCGGCTACGTTTATAGATATCTCAGTAGGTGAACGCTCGCATAGCATGATTGAGGATAGTACCCATATAGTCCAGTAGAGGGCTCCGCCTGTGCTTATATAACTAGGGTTACAATACGTAACACCCCGTTTTGAGCACATAATATCAGGTCTTGTTTTTGAATGGAAACAAATAAAGACAAGGAATTAGATAATAAAATCAAAAGCAATCTAGGGTGAAACACACAGGAAGCACTCGGCCATGACCACAAACATCAAATGACTCGTTGTTTTCACAGACTAACAGCAATGCAATAAGAAACCGGCCAGCCCGGACAACGTGGAACCTTTCTTTTTAAAGATAGCTGCAGAGTTTATTGCTCCACCTCTCACTACTCTTTTTAACCTCTCCCTCAGCACAAACACAATTCCAAAACTGTGGAAGTCAGCGTATGTCCTGCCTTTGCTGAAAGGAGGGGAGGCAACTGTTTTAAATAATTATAGGCCAATCTCTAAATTATCAGTTCTGGCTAAGGTTCTTGAACGCCTAGTGAGTGAGCAGGTAAAGGTGTTTTTATGTACAAATGACATCCTGTCTAAACATCAGTCAGGCTTCAGAAAGCAACATAGCACCATCACTGCCACAATGAAAGTGGTGAATGATGTGGCGAGTATTTTAGATAATAAGCAGAGCTGTGCAGCTCTATTTATTGACCTTTCCAAAGCGTTTGATACCGTCGATCATCGCATCTTAAAGCAGAGGCTACTCAGTATTGGCATATCCAGTCATGCAGTGGGGTGGTTTGTGAACTACCTCTCTGAAAGGTCCCAATGTGTTCATTTTGATGGGCTGTCTTCAGAGTGGTTAAACATTACTAATGGTGTTCCTCAAGGTTCTGTTTTAGGTCCACTTTTATTCTCCATCTACATCAATAGTTTAGGTGAAAATGTCAATGGAGCAACCTTACATTTTTATGCGGACGATACCGTTATGTACTGTGCAGGTCCCTCCATTAAGGAGGCTGTTGTTGAATTGCAAGCTGCTTTTAACATTATTCAGACACAGCTCTCTGAACTAAAGCTTCTTTTAAATGTTGATAAAACTAAGGTAATGCTCTTTTCAAAAGCCAAAAAGACACCAGAGCCTGTTTTAGATATTTTAACTACGCAAGGAATAAAACTTGAAGTGGTTGCCTGTTACAAATACCTTGGTATCTGGCTTGATGATTGTCTCACTTTTAAACGTCATGTCAATAACCTGCTTAAAAAACTGAGGGTTAGACTAGGTTTCTTCTACAGGAACAAGTCCTGTTTCTCGCTCGAGGCCAGAAAAAGGCTAGTCACTGTGACCTTTTTACCTGTGCTGGACTATGGTGATCTGATTTATATGAATGCACCTGCCAATTGCCTGGTCAAGTTAGATGCTGCGTATCACAGTGCACTGAGATTTGTGACAAACT